CTGTCTGTCTGTCTGTCTGTCCGTCACTCACGCCTCTCCCCTGTCCCTACCACCCCATCTCTGTGTCCGTCAATCCCACTCACTGCCGGTCTCTGCGCCCGCACTTCCGGGTTCACCATGACAACGCCGCAAAGGCTGCTGGGAATTGTAGTCCGGTGCGGGGTCAGAACCCCGCCTCTTTCCCAGAGCGCTCTCTCGTCCCTTCCGTTTCCGGTGACGCGGACCCGGCGCCGGAAGCTGCGCTAGTGCTGAGTTGGTGTCGCTGCCGCCGGGGGAACTGGAGCCGCAATGGCGGTGAGGGGCCGCGGGGCGCCTGGGGACTCCCGCAAAGCGCCGGGCGCGGCCTGAGCCCCCCCGTCCGGCCCCCTCCCCCCGGGCTTGGCCAGTGCCCCCCGCCTGGCCCCTTTCCCCCACATATGCCTGGCCTGGCCTGAGCCTCCCCGCCCGGCCCCCTCCCCCCCTGGCCTGAGCCCCCCTGGACCTGGCCTGTGCCCCCCCGTCCGGCCATGGCCTGGCCTGGTCTGAGTCCGCCTGCCCGTCCCGGGCTTGGCCTGTGCCTCCCGCCCGCCCCCCTGCCCTCGTCTGGCCTGGCCTGTGCCCCCAGTCTACCCCTAGCCTCCCCCTCCTGGGCCTGGCCTAGGCCCTCAGCCTCGACACTCCTGAGAGCGAAACAGGAGGGTGTTTCCCTGCGCGAGACCCTATCTCTGCTCCTCCACGAGGGCTGCACAGCGGGGTGCGGGAGTGGGGGGGTGATTGTAAAACCATGGAAAATGGTGAGGGGATCTCGAGGGTGGATGTAGAACGTGATGCTCGTTTATTTAATTGACATGACTTCGATTGACTGTCTCTTTAGAGCTGTGTATGGATCCCTCAAGGGTAGGGTTATAATAGACAACATGCAGATAGAGGCCTTCAGGAAAGAAAGGGGAGTGACCGAGATGTCGCCTTGCCCTGTCCAGCCTGTAGACATCAATGACTGACCAACTCTCTTGAAACAGTTCTCCAAACCAGGGCTCCGACTGAACAACAGAGGTAGAAACTGGGGATGATATGCTCACCCACATAAGCTGTCCTCCAGAGAAACTGACAACAGTTAGAAGCATATGGCAATGCTTGGACTTTGCAAGTCAACTTAGGATAAACAAAAAATGTTCATCTACAAAATGCCCAAAGACCAGCCGACTAAACTATGCTTTATAAATGCTGGGGTAGAACCCACACGGAGCTCTACCTAGATGGGCCTCGGAAGTGCAGACTGCTGACAAACACAGGAGCAGAAGAAGCCTGTAGGGCTTAAGTGCCATTAACAAAAGCCACAGGCTAAATATTGACCACCAGAAAACTACTATGAAAATGACCTGACAGCATAATCCAACCTGTCCTGGAATATGGAAGCAAAGCCAGGGGCCTGACCTTAATGGCCATCTACAACAGCTGGGGCAAGAAACCTACAGTCCCGCAAGCAAATTATACATGTGTACAAGAATTCACCCAACGACGGCTGGACAGAACAGAGATTTTTTTTTTCCTCTTTAGACCATATGAAAAGAGCACTCAGTTTCTGGTGTCTCCACACTCAAAGCAGCTAAATGACAACTCTATATAATAACTCCAGGCCTCAACAGCACTGCCTTTGGGATCAGTGGGTTGTGGAGGGGGTGTCGGCAGGAGGAGCTTTGGAGAAGGGATTGAGATGTGAGCAGAGGGGTGCAAGGATGTATGTGTTAAAGGCTGCGCTCTTTTTCTAGCCAAAGGGGAAGGTGGGAACCAAAGGCAAAAAGCAGATTTTTGAAGAGAACAAGGAGACTCTGAAATTCTACCTGCGGATCATCCTTGGTGCTAATGTGAGTGTCTCTCTCCATCAGTCTTCCAAGGCTATGAATTCCAGTCTACAGCTATTGGCTGCAAAGGCAAATCCGAGCATATTGGGCAGGAAACTGCTTCCTTCCCAGATGCCTATTTTGTCCCATCCTTTTGTGGGGCCTGACAGCCCTAAATCCTGTGGGGCCTTAGGGGTCGAAGGGTTGGGGGAATTGAAGAAGGGATTCCTTCTCTGGCTGGCAGCTCCATTTCAGTCAGGGCGAACATGAAAAGGGCCGTATGGCCTCACGTAACTTCTGCACTTAGGGGCTGTAGGGGGAGCAGTGACACACCTTGCTGAGTCCCCAGAGACCTGGGGAAAGAGCTGACACCTCTGTCTCTCAGTGGAGGTGGAATGGTTTTAACTTCCAGGAATGGGTTAGCAGGGAGGGAGCTGACCCAAACCTGGCCTGTAGTGAGGGATTGCAGGTTGGGAAGTGCACCTTCTCCCACCCAGCGCTCTGAAAGCTCGGGGGTGGGGAAGACTTTCTTTGGGTTTTTATTTTCTGGGGAGGAGGAGAAATGTACAGCCCCACATGACAGAAACAATCCCCCAAACGCCATATATGTATTGGCCTATTGCGTACTGTAAAGGCAGGTGTGGCTAGGAGGTATGAAGGAGCTAAGAACTAGCACTACGAAAGCAAGGAGCTCTCCTTCGCCTTAAAGCTTTCACCCCTAGTCAGACTAACATTTCTGCTCTGCTGGAGCCAGCTCATAGACTTGTGGCTTGCCTGGCTCTGAAAACTGTCTGGATCCAGCTTCAGCTTTCTGACGCCAGGGAGCTCTCTGGAGCGTTCCTTTTCCAGCGTCTTAGGGCAATAGATCTTGGAGAAGCAGGCAAGGTGCAAGCGGGGGTGACCCTCTGAGACTCAGGCCATTTTTCATGATAGCATATTGGGAGAAGGCCCAAAGCTGTCCCGTCCCTGAGGTGTTCCTTCCCCTCACACTTGCTCATTCTGGCTGCTTGGCTTTATTTCCCTTGTCTTCAGGCCATTTATGCAGTTGTGAACCTGGTGATCTTCTACACAACAGCCTCCTTCTGGACCTGGGTAAGTCCCTGATCTCTGACCCTTCCCTGTTCAGGGTGGAGAAAGCGAGGGGGTAACACCTGCTGGGGTATTTGTTCCAGTCTCTCGCCCTTCCTTCTGTTTCTCCCTGGGGCTGTGAGGAATCTTTACTGGATGTTCAAACAGGGCCCCTCAGATCTCCTGTTGGGGTTAGTGTGGAGTTTGGCATTCACTCACACTGTCTTGGGACTGCTGCCCCCTCATTGTTTCTAGGTTGCTCTGATAGGCAGTGCATAAGCCATGTTTGCCTGGACACACAAACCCCGTGAGGGGCTTTTACCCAGCTGAGACGAGAACATCTTCACTGATCAGAAATGTCAGTACAAATAATTGCTGTGGGGCTCTGCTCCTGCTGCTTTACCCTATGGGCTGGTCGCTTTCATGGCTGATCTTTATTTGCTTGTTGCAGGTTGCATTTGTGTTTAGCATGGTGATCTACGGTGCCAGTTACCGCTCCATGACTTCCATGGCAAAGGCGTCTTTCACGGACGATGGCAACCTTGCTGACGGGGGAATTGACCTGAATATGGAGCAGGGGATGGCAGAGTGAGTGTCCACACCCACACGAGTCCAGGTGAGCAGGACCTGCTGCCTGAGCGCGTACACAGACCCATTTACCCCTGAGAGCGTGGGAAGAAGCATAGCAGAGCCTCAGCTCTGAGACCATCCCACAGAGTTCACTTGCTCTCCCCAGTGGGAAACTTTCTAATCATTCTTGTCATTTCCCAAGAATCCGTCGAACTGTCCTCGTTGCTTGAACGTCTAGCTCCGCCTCCAGGCAGTGAGTAACGGGACACCCCAGGAAGTGTGCTAGGCTGAGATAGTGACTTGCTTAGGGCCTTCACTAGGCTGGATGTGTGACCGTACCCAGCTGCTCCGCCAACTCCTCCTTTGCCCTTTGGCTTCTCTCCTGGGGTGTTACATTCTCTAGCAGAGGACAGCTCTTCCCCTGCCCTTTGACTGAGGGGGATGTTTAGGGTGCATAAAATCTTTACCCTCTCCAAAGTTCTTTTCCTTGGATTGGCTGCCTGAAGCACCTACACAAGAGTTGTTTCCTTAGAACAAAGTAAGACCTATTAAAAAGAGAGACAATGGAATTAAAAGAAAAGCAAGCTTGCTTAACAGACCTTGAATTATATGTCTGAGCTAAGCTAATTCAGGCACCCTCAGCTTGCTTACAGGAAAGACCAGGCAATTGTGTGTAGTCAAGAGCAAGTCCTTGCTCTCTGGCCTCTCCTCGGAGATCCAGCCCACGCTTTCCAGAGAGAGTCAGTCCCCTCCACCTATTTGTCAAATCTTTGTTAAAGGTCCTCACCATCCGAGGTGAAGCATTCTGGTTGTGTGTCTGTCCCTTCCCCCACCCTGCATCTGTCTGCTCTGTTTCGATTGTCAGCTCTCTGGGGCAGGGACTGAGTGTGTCTGTGTGTGTTCAGTGCCCAGCCCTGTTCTCGGGCCCGGGGCGCTCCCAGGAGGAAGAGAGCTAGGCAGTAGGAGGCGCTGGTGGGGCAGGCAGTCTGCTCCAGGGGTGAGCTGGGTAAGTATCAGAGTGAGGGGAGTACACACAAAGTCTCACTCCTAGGGATGGAAATATCGTTTAAAAAGTTAACCAGTTAAACGATTAAAATTATATCGTTGAACCGGTTAACCGAGGTGGCTCTGGTGGGGCCGGGGGCTGAGTGTTAATGGTTACGGTTGGTTAACGGTAAGCCTAATGTTAACCATTTAACCTTTTACATCCCTGACTCCTTCCCACGGTGCCCTGTACGGTACGGTGATGTCGCCATAGTGGTCTGTCGCCGCGTGTCAGCTGGTGCCAGGACAATCGGGGGGGTTAACGTGCAGGCTTGGGCAGATGGCGCCGCGTTGCTGTATGTTCAGGAGGCCCTCTTCTGACAGACAGGCAAGAAATGGCACCTTTTTAAACCTGGAACTAAAATTCTG